ATCTGATGCCCTCTTGCCATAGCCTAGAAAAGGCAAAGTCACAATGATGAGACAGTTTTACCCAACAAAAAAAAGACGCAGCGACAAAATATGAGGTGGAACTATCATTATGTGGAGCAGTGTACGTGACAGCAACCTCGCAAAATGAAATGCACAAAACTGCAACTGAAATTGGGCACTAAAAACCGCAAGAGCTCCTTCACAACTTTCCGACTGAGCAAACACAGTTGCTTCCAACTAATTCTTTCAGGCGACGACAAGTTGAAGAGCATTTATCGATCTCTGATTATTATAAGTCTAACCGTAGTGTTGGGCTATTTTGCCACCAGCTGTGTACTTTTCGTAAGTGCAGCACTACAGCTTAACATCAACATGTTCTATTTGAGCCAGTTTGCCAGCCTTTTTGTCAATTTATCAACCTCTGTGAATTTCTTCGTTTACTATGCAATCAGGTCAGTAATTAGATCACTATCACGGTTTTGCTTTGTCTATTACATTCCATTTTACATTCATCTCTACTTACCTATTTGCTTTAGAGCTTCACTTGTTGTTTGCAGCATCATGCATGCTCACTTGGGAGCAGCTGGTGCGATCGTGGGACGGGTCGGTGTTGCCAGCTTCATTGGTGGGAGGGTCGCAAAACGGCGTTTGGCTACACCTCACTCAGCCCTTCCACCAATGACAGTGGCAACAACTGCCCGCCCCCAGCGTTCATGACTCTGCCTTTTATACAAAGTGTAATGAGTAAGTAATCTCGCGTTATCTGCCATGAATTTAGTGGAATTTTCGAAGGGTCCAGCCGGACCACAGTAGGTTATCATCGAGCGAAGTCGAAAAGCGAAAAAAGAAAACATCTTGTTTCGAATGAGACAAAGGTATACGACTCATCTTCAGTTTTGAGAATAGAGAGGTAGAGTGGATGACCTAGCTCAGTGAAAAGAGTTTCTGCACTATATACTTTCCCGGTGGAATTGCTATCGACCTTCACATGTGGAATGTGGTACGAATCGTAGTGGAGGTAAAGTGCGTAGCGCAACCATGGCTATGATCTTCTTCGCGTCGACGCACTCTACTCTATAAGGTAGAGGACGTGTTCTAAAGGCAATTTCTTGGGTCTACCAGGACTAAGGTTTTACTTACGGATATGGCCATATCGTAAACCCTCCACTTAGACCATGACAATGGACCAAAGTGTTTTGAAGTCAGAATTACCCGGTTTGAACAGCATGATTCCGTGATCATTTTGGTATCACCAACGATAGAGTTTCATATGAAAGTTCAGGTGAAAATTTGAATTAAAAACATCACTTCGAATTCACTGCTTCTTTACAGTCTAGCTTTCGAGGAAAATAGGGTGACATCAAGCCTATTAAGAGGCAAAGGTAACCAACTACAATACCCGCCCTAATTTTCAGAAAAGTGAAAAAACCCAACCCGCGTTTTTTTGTTTTCTCGCTATAAATCAGTTTCTGTTATATTTTCTTATATAGTAACTTACACTGTTGAACAGCTGGTCGAGATCTATAGGATGATGTCCTGAAAAACTGAAAAAGCCTTCCCTCCCCCTCCCCGCTTTCCATCGAAGTACCTGAGGACACTCGTTAGCGAGCGAGTCTCGCTATAATTGTAACCAGAGGGCAATCGTTGAAAGTTAAGTCTTTCGGAGATAAAATGACGCACTGTGTCGCGTACGAAATGATTATGAATTGGGTAGTTGTGCTTTTCAAGTGATGCTGATCATCACGGTGCCATTTTTCTGAAAATAGAGAGCTTCCACTCGACGTCACTTTTGATTGATATCGTTTTTCAGTCGATAAATCTCGAGCACTGGCCCAGTTAGGACCACACGAGCACAACGGGCCTACTGTCTGGAGCCATGTTTTCCCCAACGAAATTCAAGAATAACGTCAAAAGAAGAGTTTTTCAGCTTCTTGAAATAAGCACATCGTGCGATACTAGGGCAAATACGCGATTTGGAGCGTTTTCAAACAAGGATTTCCAGCGCTCTGAGTGGCCCCATAAGTTCCATGAAAAAAGCAACGTACAGAACGTCTCGTGCTGTCCAACAATTTTGTGGAGAACACAGTTGCATATTTCCAGACTGGTTGTTGTTGTCGGCTGCCAACTTCAAGACTTCTTTCAGGCGCTCATAGACTTCTTTCAGGGCCAAGTTTCCGTGTTTTATAATAAGAAAATCCCAGTCAAAGTCACACCATTGGAATCCTAGTGAAAAATGCTACCACCTATAAGAAAATCACCTCGTGAAGCTCCCTACGACCTTTCGCAGTTTTCCCCGTCTCCTACTCCATCAGCGACCACATCGGCTCCGCAGCCTGGTTTCCTCACCCGATGCGTTTGACATAAAGACCTACCCCTCGTCATCCGGGCAGTTGATTAGGGCGGTCGTCAACGGGCCGCAGCGCGTGCCAGGAACTATTTGCTTTTTCCAGGCTAATTTAGTCATTTTTTCCAACTTTTCACTGTTTTGGCTACTTTTTCCCAGATTAGCAGCTCCTTATCTTCACAAGGTGGAAAAAATGACTAAATTAGCCTGGAAAAGCAAATAGTTCCTGGCACGCGCTGCGGCCCGTTGACGACCGCCCTAATCAACTGCCCGGATGACGAGGTAGTATTGATCAGTCCGTTAATGTCAACTACCATTGTGGTCTCTTCTATTCACTATTTTGCAGAACAGATCAGTTAGGACTGCCGTTGTCGAAAATTTTTCCATATTTTAAATTTCAATTTTCATCGCTTTTGAAGGACATCCTGCTTTTCTGAATGTGAGTAGGGTTTCTCCAAATAGAATTATGGCAAGCACTTCGCAGATTAGTTTATCTAGTTTTTAGCCTTGTACTGGAATGGGTCAGTAGAAATTGGTACGCTCGACCTCGTTAATGACTTGTCGCACCTATGATTCGAGGCATAATTAGCGAGGTGCGAAGCGACCTCATTAAGCCGAGGCACGTCAGCCGAGGCACGCATGAGCTACCAAAATCGGCACAAATTGAGTGAAAACTCCCAACAGATTAAGGTTAAGGCTTACGAAAAAGAAAAAAAGATTAAGGTGAAGGCTTACGAAAAAGTAGTACGATAAGGTAGCGCTACCTGTCAAAGTGAATGGAATGGTATAATGCTTAGCCTTTAACTAACCAATAATCAACTAATCGAAACTCGATCATTCAAGAATTCATGACGAAAAGCTTTAAAGGCAGCGTCCGCGATCAACCAAAGTGAAAAAACCCTCCATTGAAAACGAACGCGGAGTCCGCAATCACAGCAGAAATCCCACTCTTGCGGCTCGAAATCGATTGGTTGACGAGGGCGGAGTCAACAGAGCCGGGCTGACGCCTCCTGTCCTGTTAATCCCGCCCCGACTGGTTGACAGTTATCAATGCTTGCTGGCATTGATATACGCTGAATTTCTAGAGTTCCGAGGCGGCGACGTGTATTGGAGAACTCACCAGAAGTTTGCGAAACTCGTCCACATGCCTTAAATTTCATAGGGTCTTATTTCACGCTCTTCCACACCTTTTTCCTGCTTTTTTTGATTAGTGCTTCATTGGCCACCTGTTCTAGCAAATGTGACCCCTGAAACCTGCCAAAGTCCATCGCGGGCGCTGTCTTTAAGAAAGGTCTCGTTGAAACCCATACGCTTACTAAGTGCATCCTTGCATATCGCTGAATCTCACTGCCTGCCTTGGGCGGGTTAGTTCAGGTAATGACCCTCTGGCCTAAATTATAATTTAGGAACGAACGCTAGGACATTACGAAAAGAGTACATGGAGAGGAAAGAGAAAATATCTGACGAAATGGCGCAGTAGGACCCTCCTCAAATCACTTTCTTCGTTTATCTCTTAACGAGACTATTATTATTTCAGATTCAATAACCTTTAT